AAAAGGATGAGTTTTAGTAGCAAACAGCTTTACAATGCCATTTATTAAATAAACCTTCCTCTTCCCCCTGGATTGAAGAGTCAGATAGTTAATGACAACCTGTCATCACTTCTAATTAACACTGTATGGAGAGTCTTACCAGTGAAATAGAGGAAGAAAAATAAAGAGGTATGATTGTGGGAAAGGGAGGAATAAATTCTCATCATTTACAGGTATAGAAAATCCAAAATAGCCTTAAAAAAAAACCCCTCTTAAGATGGATAAATGAATTTAGCAAAGTTCATATATACAATATCAATGAAAATATACATTTTATTTCTGTATAGTAGAAAAAGTTAGATATGAAATTTTTAAGAAGCTATCACTTAAAGTTAGAAAATCTACATGGAAATGCAAATGACTTAGTCTGGCCAAGACCATCTAGACAAAGAAGAAAGCTGCTGGACTTACACTTATAGTTTTCAAGTCTTATTAAAGAGCTACAATAACAGCGTGGATCAGTGTAAGTATAGGTATAGACCAAGGGAACAGAATAGAGTCCAGAAGAGATCCACACATGCGCAGTCCATGGTTTATGTCAAAGGTGACTCTTCAGTACAGTGAGGAAAGAATAGCCTTCAACAAATGGATCTGGGTCAGTTGGGTATCTACACAGAAAAATTATGATGCTTTGATCCCTACCTCACAATAGATACAGAATCAGTTCTGAATTGATTGTGGAACTAACTGTGACAAGTAAACAATAAAGCGTCTAGAAGAAATCATAGATTGTCTTCATGACTTTTGTAATGGCAGAGCTTTCAAAATTGGACCTATGGAAAAGTACCAATTATAAGGGGAAAGAGTAATAAATTGGACTGTATTTTAAGACACTATTAAGAGTGGTTAGAGCATTGGCACAAGCACTAAAAGGGTCACGGGTTCGGTTCCCAGTCAAGGGCACGTATCTGGGTTGCAGGTTTGTTCCTCTGCCCGGGTCAGGGTGTGTGTGGGAGGCAACCAATTGATGTGTCTCTCTCACATCAATGTTTCTCTCTCCCCCCTCCCTTCCTCTCTTCCATTCTCTCCAAAAAGCAATGGAAAAATATCCTCAGGTAAGGATTAACAAAAAAAGAATTAAAAAAAAATGATGTGGCATTGGAGAAAAGATGTGGAATTGGAGAAAAATATTTACATATACCCGACAAAGGACTGGTTTCTAGATTATATTAAGAATTCCCGTATATATCAGTAAGAAAAAGACAACTCAATATTAGACAAAAGGCATGCATTTCAAGAGAGACCAATAAACATATGTTTAATATTACTAGTTGTTAGGGACATGACATTAAAAACATGAAGAGATATCTCAAAACTTACCACGTAATGTCTAAAATTAAAAAGTGAAATGATCAAAGTGTGTGAAGATGCGGAGTAACTGACTTCCTCATACATTACTGGTGGGGGTATAAATTGGCCAATCACTTTAGAAAACTGGTAAAATCAGCTTAAAGATAAATATGTGCATAACCAATGTCCCAGAACATTCCATTTTTATGTATATACCTCACAAAAATGTGTACCTATGTATACCAAAAGGCTTGCTGATTCATAACAGCAAAAAAATTGAAATGAAGTTTTTAAAGAATGTGAAATAATCTAAATGCCCAGCATCTGGAAGATTCATTAATAGTGATACATTCATACAATGGAAATTATGCATCAATAAAAATGAACAGATTATTGTTAATACTCAATGACAGCTATGAATCGGAGGAACATAACGTTCAGCAAAAACAGCAGCCACAGAAGAGTACGTATTTTTTATCTACTTAAATACAGTTAAAAATATATAGTTAAAAAACTAAAATATTGGCACAGAAGCCAGAATAGCAGTTACTGTGATGGAAGGAGGGCAGGATTGGTGACTAGGAGGGAGCACCAGGGGACTTTCGGATGCCAGTTATGTTCTATGTCTTAATCTGAGTGATGGTTATGAGGATGGGTTTGTTTGGGAGGGAAAATCAAGTTGTACACTTAAGATTTCTCCTTTTTCTGTCCGTATATTATACTTCAGTGAAAAGTTTATTTAAAGAATTGTGTCAGCAACAGAAAAATGTAGTCTACTGTGTTGTAGCCTAATAGAAATAGCTGGAATCTGCAGCATTAGACTTGTCCACCAAAGGACTTAAATGCCTTGGTGCCTAGAAAGGCAGGAGCAATAACACAAGGGTAAGTTCTGACATTTCAGGGTAATTTGTGTTCATAGGACAAGCAAGAATTAATAACTCCAGGATGACAGCTATTTTTATTGTACCTTCCTGACCCGCAGCTTCCACTTGTGGCCTCCATAAATAAAGTCAGCAATTCATCTCCGTCCTTCGACAAATGGCCACTTGTTTCTGCAGGTTCATTGTCAAGGGTGAGAGGCCAAAGTGCTCTATTTGGATCTAGTATATAAATTATGTCATAAAGATACTTCTAATGTTATCTAAAACTCACTTGGCTCCTTTTTTTTGTTTAAACACTCATCTTTAACATGAGAAGAATTCTACAATTACAGAGGTACAGCACCAGAGAAAGCACATATGTTTTAATGTTAATTATTATTTCTGTGTATACTACTTTCAAAATTATCTACTAAAGATATTATTGGACATTAGGCCTTTCATTATCATATAATAAACGGAATGTTTAGTGCAATTAAATAGCAGGAAGATATAACCAAATTAACCACTGTAATCACATATATTTTCAACATATCAATAAACTAGTTAATGTTAGCTCTCCAAGATGTTTCCCGTTTTTTAATGATGAAAAATAGTCATTAAATGGTAAAGAAAGGTTTATAACATTCCATAATAATATGCTACCCTGGGTTTGAAAATCCCCACATATGTTTCTGATTGAAGTATTAATTGCCCGAACCTACGTGGTAAGTAATCTGGCAGCAAATGTTAAAAAGTAGAATGTAAACACCCTTTGACTAAACCAACCCCCTTGGGCAATCAGTAATACAGAAATTGAAGCACTTGTACCCAGGAGATATGTAAATACAGGGTGTTCCCCCAAAACGTATACACACATGTTGAATAATTATAAAGGCAGTGTTTATTAAAATACGCTTCATTTTCAAAATTGAGCTATCAGCTGTTAAAGTATGTACACATTTTTTGGGGACACCCTGCAGACAAGCATGTACAAAAACTAGAAACAACCTCTTTGGTGAATGATTGAATAAATTGGGATATGTCCATCCCATGCATTATTAAATAGCCATTAAAACTAAGTGTTCAGTAGTGACAATAAAACATAGCCTTTGTTGGGTGTTTGTGATGAGCACCCTTCTAAGTACAGTTGACCCTTGAACAACACAGATTTGAACTGGGTGAGCCCATTTGTATGTGGATTTTAAAAATAAATACCTACAGTACTATAAATGTATTTTCCTTGTGATTTTCTTTTTTCTAGCTTTCTTTATTGAAAGAATATAGTACATAATACATATAACATACAACATAGGTGTTAATCAACTTTTTATGCTATCTGCTAAGGCTTCCAGTCAACAGTAGGCTATTAGTAGTTATTTTGGGGGGGGTTAAAAATGTTATATGCGGATTTTCAACTGTGTGGGAGGATTGACACCCCTAATCCCAGCATTATGCAAGGGTCAACTGTATTTTACATGTGTACACTCATTACATTCTTGTAACAACAGTGATGATTATTTCCGCTTTATGGGTGAGAAAATTAAAGTCACAGCACATCAGGTAGCTTCCCTAAGCTCACACTCCTGGCATGTGGCGAGGGCTGGATCTGAACCAGACAGTCTTCTTCCAGAGTGCGCACTCCTTGCCTCCACGTGCTTATTCTGCCTCCCTGAGTGGATGGAGGGATTCCTCTTATATGTTGGTGACTGAAAAACAATGAATGGAAATCTAGTTATTCCATTTCAAAAAAAAAAAAAGAAAAGAAAAAGAAAAGTCCCATGTGAAGATGCATGTGTACGAGGATCTTAACAGTTTCGGAAGGAAGAATGCTCCTCAGACTGGTGACTGATGGCTCCAAGATTCAGCAAGAAAGGGGTTATAATTTTTATTTATTCACTTCTTTATCATTTGAAGTTATAGAAAACGCTGGGATACTTCTGTCATTTTTTTAATCCAATAACATGGGGAAAAAGAAATAAAAACTAGTCTCCATTTTTAGTTTCATTATGTTTTCTTGAGAATATAACAGGTTTATTTAACAAGTAGACAACTTGTCCTCTACTTTTTTACCAGGATTCAGGCCCACAAGGATCTAACTCATTAGGGTCCTTCTACATGACATCACTGATCTTCAAAAGTATTCGACAAATATCTAGACCTGCATGAAGTGGGCCTCCAGTAAACATTTGTTTCCTTTCCTTCATGTTTTTCTCCCATTTCTGCCCTTGTCCCAACCAAATAACCAGTGCTACAATCACAAAAGCAGTCTTAGTTCCCATTTTTCAGGCTCTCAGCTGACTTTGGCTACACTAGTCCTTGGCGTGGTAGTGCAGCGCCTCTTTCAGAGAGAATTGAGCTCCTAACATAATTTGCTTCCCTGTGGCAGGACTTAAGCTCAAAACGAGAGAGGAAGATTTGTCAACTGGGCAACCTGCTGTCGGGAAAGCATCCCATTAGGAACAGGGCCAAACGTCCTTCATTTAGAATCATACACAATGCTTATGTAAATACAAATAGTCTATACTTCTAGGAGTATCTGCTGTTTTATAGGCTCAACTTTACAGATTCATACATATGAATCTCTACACTGTTTTATAGACTCATAGATGTGAATCGCAATAGGATGTAAAATGACATATGTGACATTTCAGCAGTGTAGAGGTGCAACGCTGTGCGTTACTTTAGGCAAGAATTAAGGATCTTTCACATAAAATTATTATATGGAATTGATAGTTGTTTATTTTGAGAACTGTACTTCGGTCAACAGTTGGAAACAGTGCATTTCATGAACGTCTTTATGCTTTTTCTCAGGTTCCGTTTAAGGTCTCACTGCTGGCCATACTCAATCTCGAGAGACTTTTCGATCTTGCTAACGGCTGCATCGTCTCGGGAGGAAGCCTTTTCAACTGGATTGTGTCGATTATTCCCTGAACGTTCCTTGCGTGTTACCCTCACGAAGGATTTCATTGTTACTGTCTTCCTTGGTTTGAAATAAGTTTTAGACTGTCTCTTACAACAAACAAAATAAAATTGTTTTCTTACCTAAGCTCAATTTCCTTAAAAACTATAGTTTTGAATAACGTTTCACATTGCATTTGAATTAAATGACAATGCTGTTGCTCATGAAGACGTCTCGCAGAGCTGTTCATAGAAAATATGTTTGTACACAGCCCAGCTATTCCCGTGTTGATGTAGTATGTTTAGGTTGTCTTTAGATGTGTCTGTATCACAAGACTGCATTAAGCCAGTGGCTCTCAGCTGGGGGAACTGTGCGTCTAGGATGACATCTGGCAATCCCCGAAGACATTTTCAATTATTGTAACTGGAAGGAGGATGCTGCGGGCATCTAGTGGGGAGGAGCTAGGGATGCTGCACATTTACAGTTCCCAGGAGAGCGCCCCACAACCAAGTCACTGATTTAAGCCGCTGTTTCCTCACCAGTAGAATGGGAATATTAGTAGGATGGCCGTGTGGGTTAAATGAAGCGAGACGGTGTAAGAAGGGACTGAGCGCAATACCTGAGGGAGTAACGGTCATCGTGCTGAGAATTTTCATTCCCCTGCCAAGCCAGAAGGGGATCACACATTTCCACCTCATCGACAGCCTAGCTAGAATCGTCCTAGGATCCTACATAGAGGAGATGAGTCTTGAGCAAGACTTTTCATTATAAGGATTTGGATTGAAAATTTGCTAGTAGGCAGGATGCTGTAAAAGAATAAAGGCATAAAAATGAAAATGAATATGATGTGTGTGCAGAGGACTCTGCTGCTACCTTTCTGGAGTGGACAGCCATAGTAGAAAATCAGAAAATCCAAGGTGGAACTAGAGTGAAGTCAGTGGGCTTGGTTCCTATATAATAGGGAACCATTACCGGTGGTTAAGGGGAGGAGTGGCAAATGCCAGGCGCTGGCAGACAGTCAGTAAATGGTGAGTGAGTGAAAAGAAATGAATGAATTGATTAACTAATTAAATGAAATGAATGATGGCCTGGCTTTCAGGGAAAATAAGTATGTAGGGTTCATTGGCAAGGGAAGAAACGAAGGCAAGAAAACCAATAGGAAAGAGAAAAACAAAATATTTTCCAGGGAATTCAGAAGAATAATCGCCTGATTGCTCTTCTATGAAATAAAGTTTGGGTCAAACAGAGAAGCCATTCAGATAGTGATGGCTCTACTGGGGCTTATCAGTTTCTTGCGGGGATAGCGAATGCTTTCAAGGGTTTTGTGTTCCTTCCAGGGGAAGCTGAGTCTATTATGCAAAGTTTCACTCTCGGGGGCAAAAGGCGCACAACCAAAGGCAGTAGGGTTTGACGTAGGTGTGGAAACAGCGTGACTAATACCCAAAGCCATTTCCTTTAACCTGGTGGTAATTTCCTGCACTGTATTTACATGTCATCCATTCTTCATCAATATTACTAAGCTGTTACTAATTGCATGCTTTTGTTTTTCTTTATTTTAAATATTAGTGAATATAAAGGTATATACTGTTTTATAGAACCCTAGAACAGTGCCCAGCACATAGCAGAGGTCTGTGATATTTGTTGA